GATGGTAAGTACGACCTGGTTGGTTGATGGGAGGGATGAATCCGGTTGATAGCTAGAAGGGAGGGTCAGAAGGTGGAATGGAGGGGAGGAGGTGTGGCTGGAAGGAGAGCTGGGGGATGGGTGGGAAGGTTATTTGAAATTGGAGAACTCAATGTTGAGTCCTCCCAGGCTGTAGGGTGCCCAGGCAGAAGATAAGGTGTTGTTCCTCAAATTTATGTTTAGAGTTGCTGTGACACTGGAGAAGGCCGAGGACAGGCATGTCGGAGGGGCAGTGGGAAGGGGAGTTGAAATGGTAGGTGACCGGGAGGTTAGGTTGGCCGTTATGGGCCAGGGCGAAGATGCTCAGTGAAACGGTCACCTAGTCTACGTTTGTTCTCACTGATGTAGAGAAGACCACATCGGGAGCACCGGATGCAATAGACTAAGTTGCAGGAGATGCAGGTGAGGCTCTGGCTCACCTGGAAGGGCTGTTTAGGGCCCTGGATGGAGGTGAGGGAGGTGGTATGCGGGCAGGTGTTGCATCTTTTACGGTTACAGGGGAAGGTACCGGACGGGTTGGAATGGTTGGTGGGAAGTGTGGGGTGAACAAAGGAGTGGCGGAGGGAATGGTCCTTGCGGAAGGCAGAGAGGGGTGGGGAGAGGAAGATATTCCGGGTGGTGGGGTTTAATTGGAGTTGGTGGAAGTGTTTGAGAATGATACGTTGGATATGGAGGCTGGTGGGATTGGAAGTGAGGACAACCGGGGGGTGGTGGTTAAGAGCTGTGGAGCGGGGAATGGAGGAGGTGCGAATGGAGGGCTGTCTGGATGACAGAGGGGGGAAAGAGAGTTGTTTGAAAAAGGTGGATATCTGGGATGCTTGTGAGTGGAACGTCTCCTCATCAGAGTAGATGTGACGATACAGAGGAATTCGGAAAATGGGATGGAGTTTTTGCAGGATGCAGAGTGGGAGGAGGTATCGTCTAGGTAGCTATGGGAGTCTGTGGGTTTATAGTAAATGTCGGTACATAAACTGTTGCCAGAAATGGAAATGAAGAGGTCAAGAAAGGGGAGGGAGGTGGCTGAGATAGACCGAGTGAATTTAAGGGTGGGGTGGAAGTTGTTAGTGAAGTCGATGAACTGCTCCAGTTCAGCCTGAGTGCAGGATGCAGCACCGATGGAAAAGTTGGGGAACAGTACTGGTGTACATACTGAAGAGGGACTGTTCGACACAACCGACAAACAGGCAGGCGTAGCTGGGGCCCATGTGAGTGCCCATGGCAACCCCCAGGATTTGGAGAAAGTAGGAAGATTTGAAGGAAAAGTTATTTAGGGTGAGGACTGGTTCGGTGAGGTAGAGGAGGGTATTGGTTGGTGGGGGGGAACTGGATGGGTCTGTTGTAGGCCGTTCTTGTAGGGTATGGACATATATAGGGATTGAACGTCCATCGTAAAGATGAATCGCTGGGGGCCTGGGAACTTGAAGTTACTAGAGCTGGAAGGCGTAGTTTGTTTCCTGGATGTAATTGGGAAGCACCTGAACCAGGGGGGAGAGAATGGAGTCAAGGTTGGAAGAGATGAGTACGTTGGGACAGGAGCATACGAAGACAATGGGTCGGCCAGGGTGGTTGGGCTTGTGGGTCTTGGGGAGCAAGTAGGACCGGGCAGTGCGGGGCTGGAGGGGAGGTCACTGGAAGCAATGAGATCATGGACAATGTGGGAGACAGTGGCTTGATGGGCCATGGTGGGGTCATGGATAGGACGTGATGATGGAGAGTTGGCATTTGGTCTCTGTGACATAGAGAAACTTGCAACCCCGCCCGCAAGTTCACTTGGTCTATCTCAGACACATCCCCTCCACTTTCTTGACCTCTCCGTTTCCATTTCTGGCGACAGCTTACGGACCGACATTTACTATAAACCCACAGACTCCCATAGCTACCTAGATTTCCCAATTCATCCATCTCCGTCACATCTGCCCTGACAAAGAGATGCTCCACTCCCAAGCGTCCCAGATGTCTGCCTTTTCAAACAATGCTCTTCTCCCCGCCTCTGTCATTCAGACAGCCCTCCGCCACACCTCCTCCATTCCCCACTCTACAGCTCTTAACCACCACTCCCCCCCTCCAAGCACAGTAAAGATAGAGCACCCCTTGCCCTCACTCCCCACCCCACCAGCCTCCAGACCATTGCCTCCACCTCTCCTTAGTTTGCACCACACTCCCCACCAACCACTCCAACCCACCTGGTACCTTCCCCTGTAACCGTAAAAGATGCAACACCTGCCCACACACCACCTCCATCACCTCCATTCAGGGCCCTAAACAGCCCTTCCAGGTGAGACAGAGCCTCACCTGCATCTTCTCCAACCTAGTCTATTGCATCCGGTGCTCCCGATGTGGTCTTCTCTACGTAAGTGAGAACAAACGTAGACTAGGTAACCGTTTTGCCAAGCATCTTCGCTTCACCCATAACGGCCAACCTAACGTCATCTATATTCTTTTTCACTGTGAATATAGGAAGCTGTCTTCTTCTGTAAAGAGCAATGTAACGAATTCACTTGGTTCTTAGCTATGTCCCATGCTTCCAAGCATAAATCCCTATTTGGATCCTTTTACCCCAGCCCCTTTTGCCATCCTTTTACCATTTATATATCTGTAAAAACACTCTGGGTACCCCTCTATGTTAACTGTCAGTCTCTTTGGATACTTTGTCTTTTCTTCTGTTCTTTCTTTATGATCACTTTTTTCTGAATGTTCTGTATTTAATCTCAGCTGCATTATGCCAAGGACGGATCCTGTACACTATGTTGATCTGACTAAGGTCTTCGAGATAATTAGCTATGATGGCCTTTGGAAGGTAAAGAAGAAATTAATTCCAATGGTTTGATAATCAGTTTCTTAACAGCGTGTCCACGTATGTCCTAGATAGTGGGGAGTCTTCTGATCCATTCCTAGTTATTAATGAAATTAAAAATGGCTACATGTTAGTTTCAACCTTGTCAGCATGTTTTTCTGTGCTATCCTTGCCAACGCTTTCCATGATGGTGATCCTGGTTTTGAAATTAGATATCCTATGGACAAAACCCTGATCACTGATTCAATTCCAGGCAAAGATCAAGGACTCCAAAAACATATGCCACAATTTCCGTGGCAATTATTGTGCATATGCTGCCACTTTGGTGTTGGACAATGTACATTGGGCTTGTTCTCCAATGTGCATGACTCCAGCCTCAAAAGAAGCATGAAGAAAACTGAACTGATATAACAGCTGGCTCCAAGAAAGTTCTGTCTCAAGCCCAAGGTTTGAGTCCCTGACTAGAATTTAACAGGAAAGGGTAGGTTTGCATTTGCCTAGATGGGTTTGAGCTATAAGGAGAGGCTGAATGGGCTAGGGCTGCTTTCCCTGGAGCGTTAGAGGCTGAGGGGTGACCTTATAGAGGTTTATAAAAGCATGAGGGGTATGGATAGGTAAATAGATGAGGTCTTTTCCTTAGGGTGGGGAGTCCAAAACTAGAGAGCTTAGGTTTAAGGTGAGAGTGGAAAGATTTAAAAGGGACTTGAGGAGTAACTTTTTCACGCAGAGGGTGGTGCATGTATGGAACAAGCTGCTAGAGGAAGTGGTGGAGGCTGGTACAATTACAACATTTAAAAGGCATCTGGATGGGTATATAAATAGGAAGGGTTTAGAGGGATATGGGCCAAATGCTGGCAAATGGGACTAGATTAATTTAGAATATCTGCTCAGCATGCACATGTTGGACCAAAGGGTCTGTTTCCATGCTGTACAGCTCTGTGGCTCCATGAGTGCAGCTCCAACAACACGGGAAGCTTCCTGGAATACATCTGCCTACTTGCTCGGCACCCCATCCTCAAAAATTCTCTGCTCCTGATGTTTTTAAATCTCTGCTCTGACTCTCTGTTCATGCTTTTTAAATCTGCACCAACTCTTGATTTCCATTCTTCTTAAGTCTTTCTTCCGAGTGTGCCCACGCTCTTTTTAAAATCTCTGTACTGAATCTTTGCTCCTTCTTCAATTAAGATTTTTTTAAATTTAGATTCCTCCTGGTCTACTTCCATAACTAACCTCCACTCTATGATACAATGATCACTGGTTCTTAATAGATTCCTGACTAACAACAGACCCACATCATTTCCCAGAACTAGATTAAACAATACCTCTTTATAAGATCAGAAAAACAGGAGCAAGAGCAGGCCATTTGGATCCTTACGCCTACTGAACCATGCAAACATGGTCCTGGTTGATCTACATGTGGCTTTAACTCCATTTTCCTGACAGCCTCACATAATTCTCCACTCTCTGGCAGATCATGCGTTTGTCTAACTCAGAATATATTCAGTGATCCAGTGGTCTCCAGGAATCATCATGCCAAAGATGTTTGCCCTATAAGAAAATATCCATTGTTTCTTAACCATAACCAAGTGGATTCAGCCCTTAGTCTCACTAGCACTAATATTCTTCTCAATCAACACAGCCACCTGTTATCTGCTCTTTCTTTCCCCACATTTCCTGAGCATCTTGTATTGGGAATATTTAGTACTGGGTCCTGGCTTTATTTGAGCCAGGTCTTCATAATCATTATATACTCCCATTTGGTTGTGCACCTGTAGCTCATTAACCTTATTTACCATGTTTTCTGTATCTTCACATACTTACATAAACTTTTCAAAAACCTCTGAACAAAATACTGTGCGTCTTCCCATGTCTGAGTCTCTTTCTGTAAAGAAGCTCAAAGTATTTTATTATAGAAGGAGAAATGCACAAGTGAAACCTGTCAGCAGAGCCCAGTATTATCTGAAGAATGTGCACTTACATAGCCCACTGAATCCATGACTGAATTGCCATGTTTTTGATTGTTGCTCTGTACTAATTATGGTGTCTTTCCTTTTTGAGTTATGATACTTTGGTTCAGGACAAGGCACAGTAACCTGTGCAAGAGATTTGAAACCTTAGTTCTGAATGGGCAGGAGGCTAACAAATGTTCTTGTGCTTGGGTTTGCAGAGTTCTGGAGTCTGCAGTATGAGAGGGGCAGCAAGCTGGTCATTCTTCGAAACCTCTTATGGCTCGGCTTTACCTTCTTCCATGTACCGGAAACTTCTCAATATGGTTGCATCTACATGGGCCTAGGAGAGAGGAATATAGACTTTCCATTCATGATATGATACTTTCCCATCAATCCCAAACTCAACGAGCCAACACCAATTAATTTCACTCATTTTAATTGATTTACTTCAAATTACACTTGCTGAATTAATTATACAAAACACTATTGGCAACAAATGACATCTCTCTATATTTTAATAAATCTTATTTGAAAACTCCTCCATGTGCTGCAAATGACTTTGTTTATTTTTAAAAAACGCATTGTGGAAATTCAGTCGGTCAGCCCGTGCCAAAGTTCTTATCAGTGTTTAATATAATAAGGCTTTTTCCCATAGACAATGTTATTCTTCAATATTGGGTCTCCCACAGGCATGCGGACTTTACACCACTTGAGGCCTTTCTTCCAGATGGGCTTCACTGAATCAACTGACCATCGAGTGAGGTATCTGTGTGAGAAAAGATGATGTATTTTATCATTTATAATTGCAGAGGTCTCAATGGTGAGGAATTAGACATGCAGCACTGATAGTGTTTAACATATCTGTTTAACAATGACTGTTAAATCAGAAACAGAGATACCCCAGCTACTCAATGTTCTGGGGCTCCTGTGGCACAGTGGTAGTATACCTACAGGTGGGTTCAAGTCCCACCTGTACCCAGATGTGTGTAATAATATCGCTGAACTGGTTGATTAGAAAATCATTTAGACAGTGAGTAGCTGTTGAGCTGTAGAGAGACCAGGATTGGTTCACAGTATGTGCCGAATTAGCACCTGTCAGCCAGGAGAGCATTAGACAGACTACAAAAGCTACGTGACACTCAAGGTAAAACTTTACAGGTGACAAACTAATGTTGGACTGAAGTGTATCTGGGGCTGGGAGACCAGTTAGTTTAACTTCAGTGGTGGGGAAGCTTTGAGAAATAATTATTTGGCATTGCAAGGTGGGTTAATTAGAAATCGGTACTGACTCTTCCTAAAGGAGAAATGATCTGAGCTAACTGACTGGAATTTTTTGAAGCAGTAACAGAAAGGCTCGATGAAGGTAAAGTTATTGATGTAGTATTCATGGATTTCCAGAAGGCTTTTGTTACAGTGTCACACAACATTTGAGAGGATAGTTACAGGTCATGATATAAAAGGGACAGTAGCAACATGGATACAAAATTGAACAGAGACGCATCAATGGATATTTTTCAGGCTGGAGGAACATTTGTAGTGGAGCTCCCCCAGTGTCAGTATTGGAACCATTGCTTTTCCAAATATATATTAATAGTCTGGATCTTGGTGTGTAGAGGACAAGTTTGCAGATGACGCTAAACTTGGAAGAATTGTAAACTGTGGGAAGGGCAGTGTGGAACTCCAAAAGGACATGGACACGTTGACAGAGTGGGCGGATATGTGACAAATAAGGTTCAATCCAGACAGATTGTCTTTCAATGTTCTTCTGACCAAAGTGCAATGTGAATTGGGGGTGCAATGTGAATTGGGAGTACAATTCTAAAAGGGGTGTAAGAGCAGAGGAACCTGGGTGCACATGTGCAAAGATCACTGAAGGAGGCAGAAGAGGTGGAGAGACCAGTAAATAAAGTATACAGTGCCCTCAGCTTTATTAATGGAGTGTAGAGTACAACAGCAAGAAGGCAATGTTGAACTTGTACAAGACACTTGTTTGATTTCAGCTGGAGTATTGCGTACAGTTATGAGCACCACATCATAGCAGGATGAGGATGCTTCCAGGAATGAAAGACTTCAGTTATGAGATTGAAGAAACTGGGACTGTTCTTGAAAGAAGGCAGCTGAGAGGAGATTTGAAGAAGGTTTTCAAAATCATGAACGAGCTGGATGGAGTAGACAGGGAGAAGCTGTTCCCACAAATAAACTAGGAGAAAACAAGACAGCACAGATTTAAAGTGAAATGTAAATGAAGCAAGAATGATGTGAGATCAAAATGTTTTTCACCAAGTAGGTAGTTTAGGATATGGAATGCACTGCCTGAAAATGGGATGGAGGCAGGTTCAAGTGAGGCATTCAAGAGGGCACTGGATGATGATTCAGATAGGAATGGTATGCAGGGACATGGAGAAAAGACTGGTGATTGGCACTAGGCAATAGAACCGATGGAGGCAAGATGGGCTGAGTGGCCTTCTGCACTGTAACAATTCTGGGATTCTGTGATCTGCCAGCTCTGTTCATGCTGGTTGCCAGTTTCAAGGACACGAGGAGATAGTACTGGAAGATGTAAAAAGCCAGCTAACTGTATGAGAAAATACAAAGTCTAAACTTGTCCTCGTGATGTCATAAAATCATTGAAAATAGTAGCATCCTAGGCCCAACCCATCTTCAGTTGCTTCATTAACAATGTTTTTTTCCATTATAAGGCCAGAAGTGAAGAAAATAACATAACCATAAGAAATAGGAGCAGGTGTAGGTTGTTTGCCCCTTCAGGTCCACTCCATCATTCATTATGATCATGGCTGCTCACCTAACTCTATAGCCTGTTCCCACTTTATCCCCCATATTCTTTGTTCCCCTTAGACCCAAGTGCAACATCTAACTCCTTCTTGAAATCATGCAATGTTTTGGCCTTTAGAGAATTCCACAGGCTTACCACTCCCTGAGTGAAGAAATTATTTCTCATCTCGTTTGGAAATAATTTACCCTGAAACCCTAGAACGTTAACACACACACTTTGCTGCAGAAGTCAGCAGAGAGCGAAGAGGGTCAGAACCCTAATCTGTGTCCTCCTTTCTAATCAGAGGAAACAAGATCAAATTTACTGCCTCAATTGCTGTTGCAGATGTATGTAAACCTTGAACACTTCCAGCCAGATGACCAGTTGAGGCAGTATGAGTCTTATTGAGTACAGGGTAATATATGTTTGACTGGCTGATAAATCAACCAGTTGCAGTTAAATTATAGTCATTAATGATTATTTTTCAAAATACCTTCCATCTCAATGTGAAATCAGCCATTAATAATTGCTGTGAAAGTAACTCCCCTTTCCTTTTTAAAATGTGGATAACCTTTAGGAGTTCATTACTGCAGCTCGTAAAAGATTTTTTAAAAATGTTAAAAGTAACATGGGAGCAGCTGGTTAATTCTCCCAGTCTGCAATAAAACACTTTTAATACACTTAGTCAACATTTAACATAGCTCACCTAACATCACAAAGGGAAAGGAAAAATATATCATTCGAGTCAATCGTAACTACTGCAATTTCTACAAAACAAAAAAAAGTCCACGTCTAGGATTTTAATGATGCTTTTACACGTTAAGACATGTTCCTCTTGCAATCAACTGCAGTCTGCTTGAGTAAATCAGTCTGAATATTTTTCTATCCTCAGCTGATAGCACTCTTGTCTGAGTCAAGAGCCTGTATGTTCAAGGCCCACTTCAGGCAAACGGCCCAGTAGAAGACTCACAAAGTTCAAGTGATGTTACAGATTATTTGACAAGGAGTCTCCCCTCGCCTGTGGAATTCTCTGCCTCTCCTTCTTTCCAACATTCCTTAAAACCTACCTCTCACTGGTCCAAAAACGCACTCACATGACCACAAGCAGTCTCCTAACATGTGAAGGCAGTATAAAAATGCAAGGAGTTGTTGTCTTATCCAGCGTTCTACCTTTCTGAACGTCCAGCATCAACGATTTGTGTGGTCATTCATCTAATTGCTGTTTGTGGAATCTTGCCATGCAAATGCTGCCCACACTAACAAGTCATCATGCTTAAAATATCACTGTATGTAAGCAGTCTCTTAATCCCTGTGCAGAAGCAAGTCTTTATTGACAGATGTGCCTGGAAAGGATTTCACCAAACATGCAACAGTGGTCAGGTTTGCCAAATCAGCATCTCCAGGTGCTTACATACTGTTCTGGTCTTTGTCTGGGTTCTGTGAGCTGGGTCTTGGTGTCTCACCCAAATAAATCCTCTTTTCTTATCCTGGGGGCAGACTCCTAGACTTGGTGTTTTGTGGTCTAGCAGTCTGCCACTAGGATAAAGGTTACTAGATTTAGCACAGCAAACGTTCAGATGGCTCAAGGAGCAGTCGGTTCCCAATATTCAAATTAAAGAAACTCCAGTCTGCCTCATCAAATCTTCAAAATCCGTATCTCTGTCATTATCACTGACCCCTTTGGAGTGACCAGTGGAGTGGGATTTTTGGGCCCTTGCCAATCAAAGTTGCAAATTCTAATAACACAAAATATGATCGACTGGAGTTGATTCCATAGCAAGGAAAGAATGTGCAGCACTGTGAAGTAGGATGGCATACACTAGACATCTTTGAAGTACATCTCTTGTTCACAGACAAAACACCAAACTTAATAAAATGGTTTAAATGGCTGATTGCAAAAGAAATTAAGATGTATATGAGAAAGAAGCATTAATAGCAGACTCTGATGGCGTTGCAGGATTCAATTTGATCTCTCCAAACATGACCCAAATCTGGAAGCCTGTAGACATACCAGTAAGGTACTTTCCATTTAAACAGACCATGTGAATCTCCCACGTACCATCATTTGCACTTTAGTAAAATCCTGGTGAGAACAGAGGTAAGGCTGTCTAATCAAACCGTTTCCTCACATTCGAGGTGCACTCCAAATGCATACAAATTCCTTTCATTCCTGCTAAGCTAATATTAGAATCACAGAATGATACAGATTAAAAGCTCATTCAGCACATCTTTTCAATGGCCGCTCTTTCAAGGTGCTGTCCAATTAATCTTAAACTTCTGCCTTTTTCTTGAGGGTCTGCAAATTACATCTTTCCAAGTATTTAGCCAATTCTCTTTGGAAAATCATTATTTCGTCTGCTTTCCTTATCCTTTCAGGCAATGCATTCCAATGTCACCATGACTTGCTGTTTCAATATACGTCACTGGAGCAACTTGCAAGGCAGAAACATATTTAGGGCACACTGCAGACAATGTAGATGATATCAGAAAATTACAAAGGAATACTGAATAGACTAGGTGACTGGGCAAAACTGACAGATGGAGTTCAATATAAGCAAGTGTGAGGTTGTCAGTTTTGGAACAAAGGAGGATAAATTAGGGTACTTTCTAGATGGTATGAAGTTAAGTACAGTGGATGTCCAAAGAGACTTGGAAGTTCAGATGCAAAGATCTTTAAAATAGGTCCAAAAATAACGAAGAAAGCTAATGGAATGCTGGCCTTTATATCTTGAGGACAGGAGTACAAGGACGCCAAAGTTATGCTA